GGGAGGGGAGGGGGAGACGGAATGGGAGGAAGAAAAGAAAGAAAAGCAGGCAGAAAGAAAGAAACAAGGAAAGAAAGAAAAAAAGGAAAAAAAAGTGGAAAACAATTTAAATATAAACAAGGCTGTTGCCTTCCCCCCAGTTGAGATTTTTTTTCTTCCAAATGAAAGAAAACAACAACCAAAAAAAACCAAATTAATAAACCAAATTCCAACAAAAAGAAACCAAAACTTCAAAGGAAGGTATTTCACAAAACAAGAGAGAGAGATATATATTGATATATAATAAAAGAGACATGAAGCATTATTTCATAGCAACAGGGTTTCAGAGACCAGAGTGGCTGGTCACAGCACAGTTACGAACACAAAAATTTATCAGCCGTTTCTCATCTTTGCTGACAGACGTGGCTTCGGGGAGCAGCCCCTCCACCCGCTCTCCGAATGGGAAGCTTCGGAAGAATCAGGCCGCAGGGGTCAGGGGTCTCTGGGAAGGTTGGACGGGGGGTGGGCACGGTCATGGGAAGAGGTGGGACCGGGAGACAGAGGGGGCTGGGATCTTGGCCCCCCACCCTCACCCCCTCTGGTGACCCAGGGGCCCCTCCCACTTCCTGGGAGCCCTCAAGGAAAAGATGAGAAACTCTAATGAAATTTTTGTGGTTTTGGGGTCTAGAAACCCTTCTAAAAGCTTCTGTCGGATCTGACAAGTTTCCATTGATAGATGCAGCTCTCAGAATCACAAACAGCATGCAAAATAGGCTGGCTGAGAGAGAGTGAGAGAGAGAGAGAGAGAGAGAGAGAGAAAGGGAGACAGGCAGTAGGAGGAAGAAAGAGAAAAGGTTAATGCGAAGAGGCCTGGATCTCAGGGGCCTTGAGTGCGCCCTCGCGGGGGAGCCAGGGAGAAGAGACAGATGGGCCGAGAGAAAGAGAGAAAAGGGACACAGAGAGGGGGACAGAGACAGAGGCGGGGGGGAGGGGGCCCACTTCAATGCTGCATATTACTTCTAGCGGATGTGACCCAATGTGACGCGTCACATTGTCACATCACAGCCCTGGCAGAATAATAAATAGGATATTAATAATAATAATAATAATAATAATAATAATAATAATAATAATAAACGACGAGGGAATGAACTTGAACGCTGAGGAAACAGGGACATGTTCTGTGCATTTCTTAGCGGGGAAGCGGATGCAGCCTTCTGTCCCAATCTCGCAGACCATGAAGGCAGCAGGAGGCATTTCGGGGGCTCCGTTTTCAGAAGTCAGATGGGTTGGGGGGGCGGAGGCTGATGGGCACCTGAACTTCCAAAAGGCACTGTGGCCCCATGGGAGGTGTCTCACTGCAGTGGAAAGGACTTGGGTTAGCGGGCAAATCCTTCTGGCCAGAACGACGTAGTCCCTGGCTTTGAGAAGCCAGGCGTGCACGCCCCCGGCTTTGGGCAGGTCACGGGGTCTTGTCTTGTAGAGATGACAGACTGGAGGCTCAGCAAGGCTAAACAGGGCCACAAGGTGACTTTCAGTAACCTGATCTGCCTTGGGTTTTCATTTGGTATTGGGGGTGCAGCTGTACCCCTAAAGGGGTGGTTGTGGGGATCTGGCCTGTCTACAGAGGAGGGGGCTCCGAGGGAAAGGGGAGGCAGCCCAGTTCCCTCTCTTCCAGCGTGGGTTCCAAGCTGGAAATCTCAACCCCTGTTCCCTGGATCCAGGCTGGAGGCAAAGAGGAGGGGGAGCTCTGAGGGGGTGGGAGGGAGGGCCAAGAAAGCTGGCAGCCCTTCGGAAAAGGAAGCCCCACGAAAAGTCCACAAAGTCACGCCGGAGACAGGATGGAGGACGCGGGAGTTATCACCCGAGGGGAGGAGTTCGGGGGGCGAGGAGGGGAGACACAGGGGTCATGCAGACAGACTAGGGGGGTGGGGTGGGGCGCTGAGATGGGGGGCGGCTCTCTGGCAGGGCTGGGTGGAGGGCGAGGGGGAGTTGAGGGAGGAATGGGGTCCGGCCAGCCAGCGGACGCGGTCCAGGCCAGCCGCCGGCATCCACAGCGAGGCACGAGTGGGATGCCCAAACGCTGCGTTGTCATGGAAACGGAACACGATGGGGGATGAGCGTGGGGGAGCTAATTAATCAAGGACAGAAAACGGCATCGACGTCCAAAACAAAACCAGGAGAAACAGATGAAAAACAAAGCTGGGGCGAAAAGAAATCCAAAAAACCAACCAAACAAAAAACCCCTCCAACACAAAACACCCAAAAGCAAGAAGGGGGGAAAAGAAACAACAGAAAAACCATGGAATGGGTGTGGGGCTGAAAATCGGGGTCTGAAAGGAGGAGGGCTGTGGCTTCCCCAGGGAGGGGCCCCCCACCCTGGCAGAACACAGCATCTGGCCTCCCCACCCAGCACCCAAGGTTCCTGGCAGAGGCTCGAGGCAGCCACGGAGGTGAGATCCTCACAGAGAAAGAACCTTCGGAGCAAACCAACCCCGCCCCTCGGGAGCCCCTCAGCCCACTTGTCAGTGACACCCTCCCTGCTCCTCAGTTAAGGATGAACAGAGGCCAAGTCACTCTAACCGCACAGCAAGGTGAACTCAAGGCCTCAGAATCCCATAGAAAAGCTTCCCAGGCAGAGGTGGGGGCGGTGATGAGTCCCCGTGGCCTTGGGAAGGGCCCTCATCCTCCTGGAGCCTCAGTTTCCTCCTCTGTGAAATGGAGACCATCAGTGATGTGCTGATATGAAGCTGACCAGGGCAGTGCCCGCACATAGGGGACACTCAGCCTGGGCATAGGGCCAGTGAAGTTTCTTTCTTCCAGGCTTCTAGGGTGCTCTACATTAAGGGGGTTTAAGGATGAATTAGAGTTTAAAACAAAAAAGTAATACAAAGAATTTCTGTTGAATCTCTATCTCACTTTATCCCTCTTGACCAGTGAGAGGCAAATGACCTTATGCCCATTTTGTGGATGAGGCAGTGGAGGCCCAGAGAGAGGCTAGGGCGAGCTGGAAGACATGAAGAAAAGAAGTGGTAGGGCCAGAGCTCAAAGTCAGTTATGCCTGATCCCTGCCTCGCAGATAGAGTGAGCCTTCTCTCACCACGGTAATTAACAAGGATTATAGACAGATGTCTTCCTGGCGCTTCCAAACTTGTGCATCCTTACCCTCTGGGGGACACCAAAGAGGGCGAAAGCACCCATCACCTGAATGGTGCCCAGGAATCACCAGCTGAATAATATCCAGCAACCATCATAATAAATGTCCAGAAGCCATCGTAAAAGGCTCATACTAAAAGGGATTATTGAAACAGCAGCGGGAGTAAGAGCTAGCTTTAGGATTTATAGGTTAAACACAAGCCCAATTTATCCCTGTGTAAAGCTCAACATCACGCCCCAAAGACCCCGTTCACATCTGATCTGAATGTGTCTTCCCTCAGGAGCGTCATAATTTGGAAAGTACCTCTACCAGTTTTCAAGGAGACACAAGGCATACATCTTGAACATGTAAAAAGACTTGCTGTATGGGGCTGTTAACTGTAAGTCAGTTAAGTGTGGGAGGGCACTTATCAACAACAGTATTTTGGTGCTCACAATCCCCAGCATGGCCAGCAGCCATCAGTTAAATGGAACTGCCAATATGCTGTGAAGGCTGACACTTAAGACACTTTGCCCACTTGCTTTCTCGCCTGTTCCGCTTGTTTCTGAGGGAGTGCTGTAGGAAAAGGGCTGGTTTGCCACGAGTTAGGGGAGGACTGTATCCATTAGCACTTGGTGGCTCAAAACCTGCTGCAGGGTCTCATAAGGCCTCTGGGCATCCTCCCAGCTGGCCAAGGTGGACGGCTGACGCTGTGTTCTGCCCAGTTTGGTGCTGACTCCCACCCATGTCATCTTTCCACCCATGGCTGCAAGCTTGAGGTGCAGGTTAGAAAGTAAGGTGGGCGCGGCACCCACAGGACGGAGTGGCCCCGCAGGACCCCCGCCCCCAATTACCGACCTGAATGGAGGGTCCAGGCGGGTTATAAGGGGACCACACCAGCCTTGGTCCTCAGCACGCTCCAGCTGGCTCTCGTTTCCAGCTCTTCTCGTCACCGAGTAGCCGGGGGGTCCCAGTGAGGGGGACCCGCGTGGGTGAGGGGGTCAGAAGGGTGGGCAGTGGGGGGTGGTGGGTTGGGGGGGGTGGGTCGCTTCAAACCCCGATTCACATGGAAAAACAACTCAAAAACCGTCAAAGCAACCGGGAGACGACCCCTCCCCCAGGCAGGAAGAGGCAGAAACTCAAAAACCAAAAGTGGGGGGGGAGTCCAGGGGAGAAGGGGTTGGGGAAGGGTGAGGGGGGAAACTCAAAAGTGAGGTGATCTGGTTGAAGCACTAGGTAAGGAACAGTGTCAGACATCTCAACAATTCAGCAAGCCGCAGCTCCGGGGCGTGGGGTGGGGGGCTCTGCTGGGCATTTTGGGGTGAGAGAAGCTACTGGGTGCTCCTCCAGACTCCAAAATGAAGGTGTGGGAGGGGAGGGGAGGGTAGAGATGCCAAGCCCTACAGCCTCCACAGGCTTACTCAAGCTTAGATTACACCTGTCAGGGGAAGGGAAGGGGTCTGAGGTCCAACTCCAAAGCCCGTTTCTCAGCCCTTCCGCTGAACCCCAGCCTGTGGCCCGGGGAGGGCAGGTGCCGCCCCACAGCCCGCCCCGTGCATCTTCCCCGCCCCCCTCACCAGCTCCCTCCGCCACCAGGACAGCGTGCAAGGCCTGGAGGGACCTGGCTAGACCCCTGGCCCATGGGCTGACCAGTGGCCTTGGCCAGCTGCTGACGTTCTAAGCTGGACATTTTGCTGCACTACACTTTTTATTGTTTTTATGTTTTTGGTGCCCTCTCTCTCCCAATTCTTTTTTTTTTTTTCGGTTCTACAAGAAAATGGGATGGTATCTTGCCAATCGACTGAGTCTGATTTCCCCCTCGCTGTGGCCACCGGAGACATGGGGCTTTCCAAATGACAAGGTGTAATCTAACATTCCCCTCACCCCCAAAAAACAGAGACAGCGATGCAAAGGGTGTGAGGCAGGCAGCAGGCGGGAGGTGTCTAGAGCTCAGTGTTCCTGCAGAAAGACCCCTGCCCCCCACCCGAGTCAGGGGGAAGCCTGCCTCCCCACCCCGGAGCCCCCTCTCCCCTCGGGATGAGGGGGGGATGAGGAGAAGGGCTGGGTCCTGATCTGCCACTGCTGACCACCAGGGTCAAGGCTTTGGGGGCAGGGGTTAGGTGGGGAGGCACGGCCAGGTGTGATCAGTAGGAACTGGGGAGCTTGCCAACACCCCCCGGTGGCAGTCTTTCTGGAGATACAGGAGGTGGGGGGCGGGGTTCCAGGCCCAATATCTGTATCTACTCCTGTTTGGGCGTGCCAAGAGGTAAGGGGAACACCTAGAGGTCATATCCACCTTGGCTTGGGTACCAGAAAGTTAATTTTAAAAACAATCTGTCTCATAAAATTCCATGCTATGAATTGATGTGAAAAGGCCTGGGGATAGGCTGCAGATAAAGGGTTCTGAAGAACAGCTGGAAGCTGGGGCAATCTAGCTCTCCCTCTGGCATTGGATATCGAGTCTTGTCCTCTTAGCTCAGCATTCAAGTCCTGGCATTAAATTATCCCGGCCCCATGTGGCTTCTTCCCCCCAGACCCTGACAATATCCTAAGTCCCTTGAAGATGTAAAATTCTTCCCCACATCTCCAGCTTGCTTCAAGTTCTGCCCGCATGTTCCTGTGTCATCAAGTGGGTGACATAACATTTAATGGGGTCCTGTGCACCATGGTTCAATAGTGCTATGTTGCTAGATCAAGCAGTAAAGACACCATTTTTAGCCACTAATTCACACCTTAAAGGCTGACAATTTTAAAGAGGCAAGAAAGAAAATTAACTGCCAGGGAGAATGTAATCCTATCATCTTCCCACCTTGTCAAATGTACGAGCTGCATCTTCTCTAGGGGAGTTCTAGGAGCAGAACTGCCAGCTGCATTAAAAAATGGGCTTGCTTTTGACTTTGGCCCTTTGGATTTCAGATAAATTTCAAGAGAAGGGTATATCTGAATAGCCCACCCCCAAACCACCCAGAGTCAGCAGAAGCTGGAGATTAAGAATTGGAGGAAGGGTTAGGTTGAGGGTGGGGATTCCCTGCAACTCCTTCCCAGGACTGGTTGCTCTGGCAACAATGTAAATGCTCATAGCTTTCAGGGCAGAACAAGCCAAGTGGCCCATCTCTTCTGCTGGTACTTATCTGCAAGGGGAGCCTAACATCCAAACTGGGGAGGCCACCAATCTCATGGGAATGGAGTTGGAGCTGGGAGAAAGTGAGACCATGGGATAGGCTCAGAAAACCACTAGCAAAACATGAAATCTGAGCAAATGAATTAATGTCTGCTCTCCAATTCTTTTCAAAGACATTTCCCATAAGCCATCTTTTTCAAACAGTGAGTCTGTGAAATACATGATGGGGAAACTGAAGTCCCCAGTGGCTTCCCAGACCATTTACTTGAAGTCTTGGTTTCCCTGTTTTACACAATCTTGCTGCAATTTCCTGTCTCCTGTGCACCACCTAAGGCGCTAGACAAGTGTTAATTTCCTGCTCCTAATATGAGCTAGACACACTGATGCTTCCTATTGTTCAGATGAGGAAATAGGGACTCCAAGCAATCAAGTGACTAGCCCAAGGCCACACAGCCATGAGGGGTAGAGACAGAATTTGAATCTGGGTCTCCCTGAGCCCCAAGTCTGTGCTCTCAAAAGTCCAAATGGTCTTCAGAGACCCTCGGCCACCCCTCAGTTCCAATTCACTGAGACCCAGCTTTAGTGGAGGAGCTGGGAGACCTCTCTCATCCATCTTTTGGGGAGGTTCAGCCTAGCAGCTCTCACACTGGATTCAAAGAGAGACAGGAAAAATAAATTTCCTAGGATTGCATATAAAACCCTCTTGCCAACTTGGCCCTGAACTTAATAAGTGGGAGTTTAGAGAAGGCAGGTGAGGGATGAGAGAGAGAAAAAGGTGACCCCAAACAGACTGGTCTCCACCCTCAACTATCATCGATGTCGGGTAGGGAGCTGAGGGCTACTGGTTATAAGTCTAAATGGATATTTTATTGGGGATGTTTTTCACTTGGGATTTGGGGCTCTCAAGGGCTTGCCTTTTCTCAAGGAGGGAACAGAAGATGGGAGTGAGCACCTCTAAAGGTTTCAAGAGTGAGAGAGACACACAAAGAGAAGAGAGCTGAGAGAGAGAGAGAGAGGCAGAGGGAGAGTCAGGGAGGCAGAGACAGAGGGGGAGAGGCTGTGTCCAAAGTTCCCCCAGGGTTTTCTCCAGAATTCCACAGTTCTGATGCTCAGGTACTCAGAAAGTGACCGTGCTCTGTTGCTGGACAGAAGACGCCGTGACGGGGCCCAGAGCCTTTGCGGTGGTGGGGGACGCAGCCAGCATCATCTGGGAGGCAGAGGCATAGCACTCAAGGGCAGAAAAACTGGCCAAGTATTTTTTCCAAAGTCTGTCATGCTACACTTTTTTTTCTGATGGGCAGTTCTGTATTGGCGCCCAGCCAGGATGCAAAAAAAGTCATCACATCAGCTGCCATTCTGAGTGCTGCCTGTTTGCTAAGCACGCAACATTTGGGAAGGATGGTCCAATTAAAGGTGGCCATTTCTCATATTTGAGCATGTTGCTCTGTGGAACAAGAACTCAAAATGCCGGCTGCCCATTCAGCTGTGTTTCAAGTGCCTGTTTCTGGGCTGTTTGGAAGAGGGGTAGGTGGTCTCATGCTGAGGCAGAAGGATGGAAACGTGCCTGCTTAAGCTCCCTTCCAACATGGCCACCCCTCGGGGCTGACCCCCAGCTCTGGGTAGAAGGGGGCTGGCCAATCAGGTCAGGCAAATTGGGCTGCTCTCCTCACACCCCACCTGGGCTCTGAACTCCCGCCATCTGTCTCTGCCACTTCCCTTGTACCCTGGAGCCCAGGCAGTCACTTTCTGAGCCAGCATCCCAGCTGTGGGACCCTTTCCACCCTCCTGGATGGTAGCTGGGACAGGAACACTGGCTTTTAAATCACAATGCGCTTGGAGAACAACCACAAAACAGCTCAGCCCAAGAAACTGAAACCAAAGAGCACGGAAACACAAGACAGAACCAAAAACGAAACGCTTTGGGGGAGGAGGGGGCCGGGTAAAGGGGATGGGAGGGGAAAAAAAAAACGAACCAATTGGTTTTTCCCCCCCCAAAAATGAAACAAAACCAAAAAGTTAATCATTAAATAAAAAGAAGAAAGAAAGGGGGAAAAAAAAAAAAAAAAAAAAAGAAGGAATCCAAAGGAGAAAATATGGAACAGAAGACAAGAAACACTCCAACAGAAGGCGCTGGGGATTCACCAAACCGAACCAACAAGAGTGGCATGCAGAGAAATTTTTACATTCTCCCAGCATGCATCAGGCCCAAGTTACCATGACGACGAGGAGTGCAAAAAACTTAGCAACAACATTACCAAAGGATGCAAAGAGGCGACCACATTGCAAGCATCGCATGTGTGCGGCCGGCCCTAGGCCGGGCTGGGCGCGGCTGAGGTTTTCGTGTCTTTCTGGGTTTTTGCTCTCGCTTGGCGGTTGTTTTGTTTTGTTCGCTTTGCACTCGGTATTCGTATTCCGTTATTTTTTTATGTTCGTTTTTCTATGATTTTCCGTGTGCATGTCTGCGTGTGTCCGTGTGCCTGTCTGTGTGCGTTTCGTGTGTGTGCGTGTCACTTTCAGAATGTAAAAATGTGGGTAAAGAAAGTAAAAAAGAAAAAAACACACCAACCTTCTCGAAGCTCTGAGGGATGTAAAGGGGGTTTGATGCAGAACACAATGACATGGGGAGAAGAGAAAAAATAGGGGAGATACAGAGAGTAAAAAGAGGACTTCCCAAGGCTAAAAGCTGCAATAGTTTGTTGATTTTTTTTCTTTAAACCAAAAAGAAAAATTAAAATTAAAAAATAAAAAGAACAGCAATGACCTTTTAGTCTTTCCTCTGCTCTTTCCTTGACATATAAGATCTACTTCTTAATTCAGGTTTGGAGTGTCTGAGACCCAGGCAAAGATTGGGAGGCTGGGCCCCCCAAAAGAAAGGACCCCACCTCCGGGGGTTGAGCTGAGGACACAGAAGGCCCCCCTCCTTTGTCACACCCTGGCTAGAGGCCCCTCCCCCGCCCTGCCCCACACCTGCTGTCCACACTCTCTTTGAGCTCTGCCAGACTTACAATCCCCCATCCCAGGTGTTTGCAGAGAAACAAGCAGGTTAGACAAAGACCAGTCGGTTGGAGTCATGGACACATTATAACTCACCAGAGGTGCCGTGGCATCGGACTGGATGTGTGCCCTCCTGCCCCCCCGCCCTTGCGTCCCCATTCCCTCCCCCCATGCAGCCTCCTCCTCAGAGACAAGATGCAGAACCCAAGTGCAGAGCCAAGGTGCTGCTTCAGGGCCGGTGCGGGACCAAGGGCTGAGGGTCTCTGGGTGAGGGAGGAGCCACCCAGCCTCCAGGTGGAGAACCGCAAGGGCTTGATGCGTTGAATGGGGGAAGCGGAGGCCCAAAGAGTGTGTGATGGACTCAAGGACACAGAACCAAATGGGGCAGCTCGGGGGTTTGAACAGGGGCCCCATTTCCTGGCAGGCAGAAGCTGTTTCTACCACGAATCTGATCAGAAACAGCCGTGGGGAGGCGGGAGATGGTGGAGTTTGCAAATGGAGGAGGAGGTGGCGGCGGATTATAATTCCTGAAAGGACGGAAGAGACCCGACACGGGGATGAGGGGGTTGACAGAGGCATCTGGGGACAGGGGCAGCACCCCCAACCCGGCACCTTTGAGGGGACACCAAGGGGCCCAGAAGGAAGTTTGTGTAGCCGCTTCTCAGGCCCTCCTTGGGTGGGGTGGGGGTGCCGGGGGGACCCCAAGCTTCTGGGTGTAACTGACTGGGAATTGAAGCTGAGAAACTTCAGCCCAAGCCCCAGGGCATCCGCCCACTGGCCTACAGGAACCCCTCCCTGAGGGTAATGAGGCTCTGGGGCAGCAGAGGGTGCGGGGCTGGCAGGGGCAGCCTCAAAGGCGCCCCCCTCAGCTCTCAGGTTGAGGGCGCTGGCGTGGGGCAGTGACGCAGGGAGCTATGAGGCAGGAGCCTGGAGAAGCAAAGCAAGCACACAGCAGGGGAGGCGACCACACGACACACCACAGAAGCCGGCTTGGAGGGGCGGGCGGGCGGGGTGGGTGGGGCAGAGGCCTGCAGGCTCCCCCGGCCCTGTAGGCCCGCAACCGGGCCCCTTGGCCCTGCCCTGTTCCCTCCTGCCGCTTCCCACCCCCGAGTCCTGCAGCCCACGGGCGGCCGTCACAAGGCACGGGGGTGGGAGGGGGTTGAAGCTGCTCCCATTTTACAAGCAAGGAAACTGAGGTCCAGAGAGGAACGCCGCCTCGCCTGAGGTCCCGCGGCCACCAGCGGGGGTGGGCCTTCCTGCTGGGGTCTGCAGGGGACAGGGGAGCCCGGAGGCTGTGAGCCCGAGAAGGGAGGGGGCGGGTGGGGCGTTCCCTGCCTTCGACCTGGACACGGCGTTCCCTACCTCGCACGTAGAGGTTGGCGGGTGAGGAGTAGCGCACGCCAGCACTGTTGGTGGCCACACACTCATATTTGCCCTGATCGGTCTCCTCGCTGCTTTCAATCTGCAGGGCTCCTGTGGGAAGAGAGGGGGAGAAGGCCTGGCCCGTCAGGGGAGACCCCGGGGGTATGGGGCGGGGCGGCGGGAGGGCTGTCCCAGAGTCCTGTCCGGCCTGTCTCAGTCTGGCTTGGCCGGAAAGGTAGAAGAAAAAGCTGAATCAGCCTAGAAGCCCGCACTGGGCTGGGCCCCCGCCTGTCTCCCTCCAACCCTAAGCCTGGCCATCCTGGCCTGAACACACTGCGAATCCTCCACCCTCAGCTGGTCTGGGGCTGGGACCTCATAAACGCCTGCCAAGGCAAACGGCGAAGTCCAGGAAAGCACTGAGTGATGCTCTCCAGGCGGAGATGGGGGTTGTGGGCGGAGAGCAGGTTGACGCTTACGATTCATAGCAGCCATTCCAAAGACCCTGACACCCAGGGGCCACCACAGACAATGTGCCAACTCAGGGAGCCAGCGGTTGCTCACTGGTTTCAACTAGTGCCCACGTGTAAGTGAACATGGGTCTGGCTTCTTCAAGTATGGTTGGAATCACAGGCCTCAAGGCCCAGAGCGCCCGTAAGTAAAAGGAGACAGGGTTCTACTTCTTCAAGGTGTTTACATTTCAGGGCTGGGTTACCCTCCAGGAGAGTGAAGGCAAAGAATGTTTTTTTGTTTTGTTTTTGTTTTTGTTTGTTTTTTCGTTGGAGTATAGTCAGTTACAATGTGTCCGTTACAGTGTGTCAATTTCTGGTGTAAAAGAAGGTTGAGCGTGGTTCACAACAATCTGCTTGAAATCAAAGGCCTGGATCAAAGCTTTATGCACTTGAAACTAATTGAAGAGGAACCTGAATTTGCCCAGAGAGTTAAAGTTATCTAAGTAAGTCTGAATTCACCCACCTGCTTTAAAACCCGGGCCTGGATTCAGGATCCTTGTGCTCACAAGTAACTGAATGAACTTTCTCAAGTGTGTTTGCAATCAGGGAAGGAGACCTGAGTCCATGGTGTTAATACGTTAATGGGGAGAATTTTCAAACGTGTTTGAAATCAGAGGTCTAAAGGAAAACCTCAAAGGCCTACAAATAAAGTTGAGGTTGAAATGCCTCCAGTGTGTTTGAAATCCAAAGCTTGGATCAAAGAATTTGTTGGTCACTAGTGAATAAGAATTTAAAGAGGTCAGTTTTCTCAAGCATATGTAAAAACCACAGGCCCAAATGAAAGGCCTTGGTGCCCACAAGTAAATGAAAATAGGGCTGATGTCCCCCCAGTTTGAAATTACAGGCCCAGCTGAAACACTTCATTTTCCTACAAACGTGCAAAAATGAATGAACCTTCTCAGGAATATCTGAACGCATAGGGCACTACAGCCAGTGCCCATGAGTAAATGAAAATGTGGCCCAGGTTTCCCCAAGGATCTGAAACCACAGGCCTAGGGAAAAAAAATCTTCATTTTCTCAAGTAAATGAAGTCAAGCAAACATCTCTAAGCGTGTTTGAAATCACGGGCCTTGCTTAAAAAACTTGAGTACCCATGAACAAACCAAAATGAGGCAGAGGTTTCCACAATACGTTTGAAATCAAAGGCCTGGATCAAAGTCCTCATTTTCACAAGTAAATAAAACTGCGTGAACATCCGTAAGTATGCTGGCATCACAGGCTTAGATCCTGTGATTTGTTGACCATGAGTAAATGAAGATGCGTGAATATCTCTAAGTGTGTTGAATCACAGGTTTTGATCAGAGTCTGTGGCACCAGGAGTCCAAAAATCCAGTCCAAGGTCCCAAGCAGACCCCTCCTCCCAGCTTTGTCTGTGGTCGTCCCACAGAAGTGACAGGGACCCACAGATTGGGAAACTCTCTCTGGGGGCTGTGGACTAGGGTTCTATCCCTGCACACCACCTCCTGCTCCCTGCCAGCCTGAAGGCTCCAGGGACGCAGGCAGACAGGTATCACTGGAGGCCCAGAGAGGGCACAGAGCCTGCTCTAGGTCACACAGCATTTCACGGCAAAGTCAATGACTCTTCCCTAAGGCTCCCACCCAGGCCTATTCTAGTCTATTCTCTGAGGCAGAGACCCTGAGTCTGCTTGTCTCTCTGTTTCCTCAGGCTGGACCCCTCCCCACCAGATCAAAGCTTCAGGGCTGGAAGGCCCCCTGTGCACACTTATTGTACAGATGGGAAAACCGAGGCTAGAGACAGACAAGGGCTGCGTACAGAGCAGAGGTCAGAAGCCCAGCTCCCAGTGCTCTGGGTGGGCTTGGGAGGCGCTGCCCCTTCCTGAGGACACAACCCCCTGACTGCAGCCAGGTGACCCAGGAGCCACCATGGCCACACTCAGCCCCCAGCCATGGAAAGTGACATAGACACAGAGACTGCACCGACACTGGGTGAGGTGGCAAGGAGGAGATATGTGGAGGAGGGGCCTGGGGCAGCCCCCTGTGGAGCCTAGGGGGCCGGGTGGGCAGTGAGCGAGAGCGTGAGTGGGTGGGTGGGTGAGGAAAGAGCCTCTTACCTCGGATCGGAGTGCTTTCTGTAAGGGAAGCAGAGAGAGTCAGGTGAAAGTCAGAAGGCAGTCCTAGGGGGCCGGGGGGGCCCCAGGGAGGCAGGGCCGGGCCACGAGCCAGGCCTGTTCACTCTGCCCCAGGGCTGGGAGGGGGCGGAGGCAGCCCTGAGCCTACGGGCCCTGCAGGCCTTGCTGAGGAAGGCGAGGCAATGCTCCAAGGAGCAGGATGGGGTCTGAGGGCTGGCCAATCAGAAGGGCTTCCTGGAGGAGGTGAGAATCTCTTGGAGAAGTCTAGCAGCCCCTCTGGACTGGCCTGAGGGGCATGGCTATGGCCCTAGGAGGTCCATGGCCTGGCGTGGCCTCGTCGGCTGCCTTCCTTCAGGGCTGAGGGAGGTCCATGACCTTCCCTCCTACTTTCCTTCTTGGAAGGGACAGGGAATAATGGGGGTCTCAGGGAATCTTGTTAGAGACGGCGGAGAGGGGTTAGTGCCCCAGGGCCGGGCATTAATAAAGCAAAGGGCAGGTGTTACAGACAGGCCAAGGAGGAGGGACGGGGAGGGCAGTGAAAGGGGACAGAGGGCAGAGGGAAGGCCCTGCAGCCTTCTTAACTTCCAAAAGGAAAAGAGGAAGAGGACCTGCACGTGTCTCCACGGGTGCTGGGGGCAGGGCTGCTCAGGAAACCGGAAAAGGTGGCCCCAGGCTGCAATTTCGCACCCTCAGCTCATCTTCCCAGGGGAGACCTGGGGCCCTTCTCTCTCTGCCGATAGCTGATAACCCCACTGAGGACATGGGCATCCCACGGTCAGGGCAGAGAAGCTGCTGAGGATGATAAAACACAGTTCTTTCCTGCCTGGCCCAGATCCATTTTGCAGATGGGCAAACTGAGGCCCATCAGGGGCCATGAGTCAGAGGTGGGGGGTGGAGGGGCTTAAACCCAGCTCTCCAGCTTCCCAGGCTGGGGCCCCTCCAGCCTGAACTTTTTGGGGCCTTATGTTATCTCTTACAAAATCCCCGACCTGATGGGGCCACTCCTCCTCCTCACAAGGCAGGAGGAGGCAGGATGGGAATTTGCCTAAGGCTGCACTGTGGAGAGCGAAAATCCAGGTCAGTAGGAATCTAGGTCGGCTCCTGCTTGGGCTGCTTCACTGCACTTGGACTATGATGACAGAAGCCAGAGGCCAAAGGACAGAACTTCCCAAGGTGGCCAAACAACCTATGGCTAACATACTGAGAGGAAAGGATATACCTCTTGGGTATTAAAGGTAAAGAGTGACTATCATGGGCCAATATCAGTCATTCTCACCTTAGTAAGAATTAGCCCAGCAGTTGGTTTCAGGGGATTTGGGCTGGATGCTGGGAAAAGAGGATGCGACTTGCCCAGGACTAGCCCAGCTGGAACATTCCCCTCTCCCCCTAGACCCAGCCCCCAAACTTCTATAATTTCACCACTTTCCAGCAGTGTCAAGGCCCAGAATAGGGCAGTATGACTATTATGTGTGAAGCTCCCCTGGCCCAAGGATACCCTGGTTTTCCTGCAGCTCCCATTGTGGGGTCTGGCCAGCCCCTTGTGGCTATGTCTTTTTTCCTCTTTTCCTTTTGGGCTCCTCTCTCTGCAGCCCCCTGGTGCCCGGGTGGGGAAGGCTGGGCAGCCGGAGACGGGGTTGGTGAGGGGACGCGTTAGTAAACATGCCACGTGGAGTGGGTCACAGTTACTGTCACAGTGGCTGTTAGTCTGAGGGGAAAGGACGGGGGTGTGGACACAGGAGGGGGGCGTTAGTTGTTGACGTGGTGAAGAAATTAAACTTACCAAAGGTTTCTGAACGTTTACAACGGAGGGACAAGAAAAAAGAACAGGAACATTAATGGGTGGTTATGCAGAAGCCTGTATCCTCATGGGGGTGGGAGGGGAGGTCAGAATAGTAATCAGACTGACTATGATGAGTAAAGCAGCTGATGCTCTCTGCGCACTCGGTACGTGCCCAGCAGCCCTCAGGGGCCCCTCACAATAACGCTAGGGAGTGGGCATGTTTCATGAGGACACTGAGACCCGAGAGGAGGACATGCTCTAAGACACAGTGGACACTGAGCTCCATGCTCTTAATTATTTCACTGCGTCGGGGCTACGATGGTGGAAACCAGCAGGGAAGCAACTGGATTCCCAAGGCTGCCATCGCTCCTCCGGCGGAACCCCCAAGCTGCGGACATCCTCAGATAGGTCGGGACAGGGAAGGCTACGTCTCTCCCCAGTGCGAGAACGGGTCTCTCCAGGGAAGCAATTCTGGGCTTAATGTCTGCCCCTTTTCAGGGTTTGGGTCTTGGCTGGGGGGGAGCAGGAAGCAGAGGGTGGGCAGACAGACTCCTTGGAGGACGAGGCTGAGCAGTGGGTGGTGGGGGACTGCGCTGAGAACGGGGAGGCCTTCAGGCAGGGGTGGCTCCAGGGCGGGGTCCTCAGAGGAAGGGGAGGGAGGAAGAAGGAGGTGCACTAACACGTGTACTCACGGTGGGCTGAAACACGTGTGAGTGCACAAGAGAGCATCTCGACCACACACGTGTCTGCACATACAAGGACCAGCTTGAGACGTGTGCACAGGAGGGACTGTCACGTGGAGACACGTGTGGCCGAGATGCACATGGATAAGCTTTCCTCTGGGAGGGGAAAGGCGACCCGTGTGCTGGTGGCATGCCTGTGTGTGCCCACACACGGGAAGCAGGTCAGGACACACGGACGTTCGTGAAGCAGTGGGACAACCAACACAACGCACATACAGCCCCCAAGACATACGGACTCACAGAAGGGGCACAGGGGTGCTATGCCGAGACACAACTGTGGAAGCACCCAGCTCCAAGGTGGCCAAGGCCTTGGGTTCTGTCTCCAGGTCCTCCCTAGCCCGGCCGGGACCTGGACAAATTGCCCCATCACAGGCAGTCCTCCACCACCACCCTCTCCCTGTCTTTGCCTCCATCACGTCCTTATGACCTCAGTCTTGCAGACACTCTCTCTGCAGCTCTCCATGGCTCCCCATTAACTTACCTGTCTATGCCCACTATCCCAGCTTTAGCACTGGAAATCCTCTTTGCCTTAGCCTGCCCTCTACTCCTACTCATCCGGACACTATTATATCCTCACTGGACAAGCCTACTGCTTCAGCACAGAAAATGCTCTCCCTCTGCCACCCCCCAAGGCTCCCCGTTATCTGACTGTGCCCCGTTATATAGCCAGTGCTTAGACAGTGAAGGTGGCCTTCCCTTGCCACCCTGCAAGGCTCCCCATCACCTGTCTGTCTGTCCCCTGGTGTCCCCACTGCTGGGGCCCTGGAGATCCCCACCATCCTCTGTGGTTTTCCATCACCTCAGCTACCTGCACCTCATCAGGACCTCACTTAGGTACCAGAGACACTCTGTCCCTATGGCCTCTGGAGCTCCCTAGCATTGTGCGTATCTGGGTCCATTATATCCCCACTCAGGCACTAAAGAACCCTCCTCCTACCATCCACCATAGCTCCCTATTACCCTGCCTGTCTGCACCCTATTATATCCCTACTGATTCTGCTCTGAAGACACTCTCCCTCAACGCCAACACCCTCCATGGCTGCACACTAGCTCTGCTTTCCTATTCTTCATTAGTCCTCGGGGCTTGGGCCCTGGAGACACTGCCTGCTCTTTGCTGTCCTCTGTGGCTCCCACGTCCTCCTGGCCACCTGCACTTACCTGATCGCAGCTGCTTGATGCGCCCGTTGCTGGCGCTGGGGTCCACGGGCAAGAAGTCCTTGAACCAGGTGATCTCGGGGTCAGGGTTGCCGCTGGCAGCACACAGCATAGTTGCTGTCCGCGTCCGCTCCACCACCTTCAGCTGGGGGCCCATGTCGATGTTGGGGAAACCAGGGGGCAGCTGGTCCTCTGAGGGTGGAGACAGGAAAAGCAAAGCCGAGGCCCAGTCACTGCAGGGCCATCCCTCCAGGGTGGGGCTCGGGGGCAGGATGGCCCTGGTCCAGCCCCTGCCTGGCTGGGGGACCTCCCATAGCCTGTTTCCTCCTCTGTTCATGGGAAGGACCACTCTCATGTGGGAGAGCCATCGGAAGGACACCAGGCGAGACCGGCGCCTCTCGCTCGGGGCAATCCTGCCCCTCCTCAGGGGACTGGGCTGTATCTGGGGGCATCTATGGCTGTCATGAGTTGGGGGAAGGCTCCTGGCATCAAATGGGGAGCAGCCAGGGGGGCTGCTCCACACCCCACAGTGCCCAAGACGGTCCCCCAGAGAATGATCTGACTCCACGTCAGCAGTGGTGGGGCTACAAAACCCTTGCGTTACTGCACAGCAGTTCAGAGGGAGCTTTTCAAATTTGAAACAGGGCCACATCACACTCCTGCTGCTGGTCCTGCCATGGTCCCCACCACCCTCTGTAGGAACACAGGCCCCTCGCCAGTGCTGGCCCCCGCAAGCCGCAGCAGCCCGATCTCACACCAGCCTCATGTTTCTCACCTTTTCTGACTCACCACACTGGCCACCTTGCTCCCCAAAGTCCCTGCTCCCTCCTGCATCACCCCTCAATGACTCAGGCACATCCTCTGGGCGAGCTCACGGCCCCAAGTTATAAGTCCCCCTGGACTCCAGAACAACTGAGCTTCGAACTCCATGGATCACAATGTTATCTGTGTCCCCACAGTGTCCCTATCACCCCATTCAGGTCCCGGCACACAGTAGGTGCTTAATAACTGTGTGCATGACTCAGCCCCAGTTACTGCCAACCCCTCCAGGCCTGAGTCTCCCTGTTTGCTGGCCAGCGTCTAGGTAGAGGCGGTTAGGACACAAGGAGACATTGCCCCTCCCTCAAGACTCTTGGTCCCCATGTTCGAGGGACTGACAAGAATGTGGGTCTGGCCTGAGCCAGGTGGGCTTCATTCATGTCCTCTGCAAACTGCACCGTGGGCTCCATGGCTGGACTCAGCTGGAGCCGGTGCTGGGGGTGGAGGGATGTGGGGGGAGCAGCTGGAGGGCCTCCCGCCAGGTGTCTCCCCCTCCAGTACCTGGCTCCAGGTTCCTTTTGCTCTGACCCCTAACACCCCCAGCTCCGGTCTGGCCTGTCATCCACAATGGACAAAGGGTCCCCTGGGTTGGGGCAGGCTTCCTCAGCTAAAATTAAAACAGCCACTGGCTGTTTATGTGTCCTCTGCCCCAAATTCATATGTCGAAGTCCTAACACTCAGGACCTCAGAATTAGACCTTAGCTGGGCACCATAAGGCGAGAGGAGGTATCAGGGTGGCCCTAATGCAACATGACTGGTGTCCTCACAAGGAAGAGGTGAGGACCTAGGCGCACAGAGTGGAGACCATGTGAGGACACAGGAGAAGACACACATGTTCAAGCCATGAAGGGAAGGAAGCCTCAGGAGGGACCAACCCTGCAGACTCTTTGCTCTTGGGCCTCCAGCCGCTAGGACTGTGAAAAGACGTGATGTATGCCGCCCAGGCTGCAGGACTCTCTTACAGCCGCCCTGGAAGACGAACACAGTCCCCGCCCCAGCCCTGACGGACAAGCGACAAAAAAGTGATCACATACAATGCTGACGGGATGGAGGAGAAACAGGAGTGCTCGCCTGCAGCCGGCACGATGGATCGTTGGTGTTGGTACAGTGGGACCAGGAGGGGCGACCTGGCGCCATTCACCTGACACCCTCCCCGAACCTGCAGCTCAGCGGCTGGCTCCCTGGGCCTGTGCCCTAAAGGAGGAAGGCAGGGGAGTCCTGAGGCGCTAACAGCAGCAGCGGAAAGCTGGAGGCCACCCAAACACCCGTCAGCAGAGACTCATCACAGATAGGCCAGGCTGTCCATGGGACGGCTCCCCAAACAAGCAGAGAGAATCGCCTTACGGATTTGGAACAAAGTCCAAGATGCATTGTTAAGGGGACAGAGTTCAAAATCGAAGATGGTGTGGACCCAGGATCAAAAACTACAGCCCCACGGCCCAATCAGGCCTCCTGCCTGCTTTTGTTGATAAAGTTTTATTGGCACATGGCCACGCCCCTTGGTTTCCTCGTCATCAACAGTGGCTTTCCTGAACTGAGAAGTTTCAACGGAGACCATCTGGCCTGCAGAATCAAAAATATTTACTCTCGGGCACTTTGCAGAAGCAGCTTGCCACCTCCAGGTATAGACAATGCTGCTATTTGTATGAAAAGGAAATAATACATGTGTATTTGCTTACAGATGTCCAGGAGGTGCACTAGGCATGGTGTGGGGATTGGGGGATGGACAAGGCGGCTGGGGAAGAGGAGCCTGGGCCGCATCACTGGGTTTCCCTAGTTAAATAAGAGAGCTATGGTTCCCGTCCACGGAGGGGTCACTTCGTGGAGGAAGACAGCCCAGTTACAAGTCCTGAGCACTAACTATGGACCAGGCACTGTAAGGCAGCTTCCTGCGCCCTCCTCAGAGATGGGACCTATTTCATAGAAGGGGAAACTGAGGCTCGACAGACGCACACCTGCCCAGGATCATACAGCCAAGACACAGCAAGGCTGGGATTTGAATCCAGGCCTGGCTGAGCCTGGAGAAAGCTGGATGGGGCTGGTGGCTGCAAAACCCCCAGACCCAGCCTGGACCCATCGGGGTCTGAGTGGGTGGCCTATCTGAGCGGGTTCAAGCCTGCTGTGTTCCTTCCCAGCCCAGGCCTGGGCCACCCCACCTGTGGTTCTGATTGGCTACTGATGACATCATCGGGGGTTAGGGCCAAAACCACCGGGCCTCAATTCTTGGTGCTCCAAGCTGGCCTGAACGTGCTGGCGTCCCTCTGTGAGCCTGTTGTGCACGGGTGCACATGTGCGTGCACCTGAGCTCACCAGCACCCCACGTGAGCACTTCCTCCGTGTGTGCGGCCCCCAGCGGGTGGGGTTGGGGGCTGTGAGCGCATGCCGGGCAGCAGCCAGCCAGGGTGGGGGAGGCCGCGGCCGCCTGACGTTACAGAGAG